ACCATAACAGCAAGAGAGAGGCGCAGGACTCACCATAGCTAACAACAAGAGGCACCAGGACTTACCATAACAACAAGAGGGCACCAGGACTCACCATAACAGCAAGAGAGGCACCAGGACTCACCATAACAACAAGCGAGGCATCAGGACTCACCATAACAACAAGAGGCGCAGGACTCACCATAACAACAAAGAGGCACCAGGACTCACCATAACAACAAGAGAGGCACCAGGACTCACCATAACAACAAGAGAGGCACCAGGACTCACCATAACAACAAGAGAGGCATCAGGACTCACCATAACAACAAGAGAGGCACCAGGACTCACCATAACAACAAGAGAAGGCACCAGGACTCACCACTTAACAACAAAGAGGCACCAGGACTCCTGCCAACAACAAGAGAGGCATCAGGACTCACCATAACAACAAGAGAGGCACCAGGACTCACCATAACAACAAGAGAGGCACCAGGACTCACCATAACAACAAGAGAGGCACCAGGACTCACCATAACAACAAGAGAGGCATCAGGACTCACCATAACAACAAGAGAGGCACCAGGACTCACCATAACAACAAGAGGCTCACCATAACAACAAGAGAGGCACCAGGACTCACCATAACAACAAGAGAGGACTCATAACAACAAGAGAGGCACCAGGACTCACCATAACAACAAGAGGCACCAGGACATAACAACAAGAGAGGCATCAGGACTCACCATAACAACAAGAGAGGCATCAGGACTCACCATAACAACAAGAGAGGCACAGGACTCACCATAACAACAAGAGAGGCACCAGGACTCACCATAACAACAAGAGAGGCATCAGGACTCACCATAACAACAAGAGGGCACCAGGACTCACCATAACAACAAGAGAGGCACCAGGACTCACCATAACAACAAGAGAGGCACCATAACAACAAGAGACAGGACTCACCATAACAACAAGAGAGGCACCAGGACTCACCATAACAACAAGAGAGGCATCAGGACTCACCATAACAACAAGAGAGGCACCAGGACTCACCATGCAGGGTGTTGTTGTTGTGTGTAAGCGAGGGGGTTGTGAGCCAGGCTGGGTCTAGAGCCTGTGGGGGCTGGGGTGGGGGCGCCCCTGCGGTAGTGTTACTGCTGGTGCTGGTGCTGGGGTGGTAGCTGGGGGACACAGACGACGTGGCGGGGGACGTGGATACCGACCCCGTGCCCATAGACACCCCCCGGCCAAGGGTCACCAGGGGCGCCAACACCTCACCTCCACCACCTCCGCCAGCGCCTCCGCCGGATCCTTCAGAAGGAGAGGCACAGCCGCTGTCACTGTGACTCGCTGGAGACGATACTGGTGGTACCTCACACCTGGGGAAGGAGAGGGGCGTGGTTAGTAAAGCTGTGGGCGTGGTCAGACATTGTGAGAAGGGGCGCGGTCAAGAAGCATCTTGTGGAGGGCAGTACAGTACCTGTCCCTCAGGTGACGAAGCAAGAATGTGTTAACCCCACCTGAACACCTGCGTTACTAGTCCACATGAAGCTTAGACACCCCAGCTTATAACACCAGAGGATTAAACACCTTAACACTAGTCTACCCTAACACTAGCCTCACATAACCTAAAGTAACCTAACCTAAAACTAATGCTAACGCTAACCTAAACTAATCTAACCTAACCTAACCTAACCTAACACCCCCCAGGTAGCGTTATATTATTTAATCATCAGGCGAGAATAAGGTAGGTGGACTGCTCTTCATGTAATCCATAAATCAGCCAATCAAGTACACCATTACATCATCATTTAGGAGTAATAATCACCAGAGGAACCTCTACCAACACATATCAGCTGACGGAGAGAAAGTTGTTGGTTCGGTGTGCGGACGTAAAACTCGAACCCAGGTACTGGAGGTGTAATGTGAGCCACGCCACTGACTACATAGTGGTTGAAAGGGGCGACGTGGCTTAGAGAGTAGTACTGGGGACAGTGTACATGATACTACCTGTACTACTTTTAATTGGCCTCCATCCTCCCCCTATAGCCACACCTTCGCCGCCATTTTATTACCTTAAAATTAAATATCCTAATACATAAGTAGCTATCCTAGCTGTGTTGAGTTAGTTGAGCCGCAGATCTATGCGGCATTCAGAGACTGTTGCCTCATAGTCAATATCTGCAACTGTTGTCGGCTTTGGGGGCCGATGCTTTCGTTCCCCTGAGGCAGAGCAAAGCCGACTGAAGGGGAGAGAAGGACAGTCGACATCTCATCCAGGCTGTAACATAACTTCTGGGCTGCTGCTTCTGTTCGGATAGCACCTCCGCTAGTCTGGCGTAAACATCTTGCACTTGGCTCCATCCCACCTTATCTTGTCGTTCTCGTTCCTCCTGTGTGCAGCATTGCGAGCTAAGTTACGGTGACATGTGGCCATGGGATAAAAAATCCTGATGTCGAAGAAGGCTTGCTGTTGCCGCGTCCAGAATCCTCGAGCACTGACGTCTGCACGGGCTTCGTTGGATGTGTTTAAAGTCCTATGTTGGAAATTCTCACCGTCCAATGGAAGGAGGATCGGTTCTACCCTGACATCACCGCAGATTTCCTTCAACATATTTGCTGTGAGATCCCTTACTTCGTCATGCCTCATGCATATGAAGCCCACTTTCTTGCACACTATGACGTGATCGACGTCATAGGAAGAGCCACACACGCATTGGGAGGGCAAACCTTCTACTGGCCTACCGTACCTTAGAGCATTGACGTCTGTAAATTCTTGTTTATTGAGACTGAAACCATTTGCCCTTATCGGTAACGTAGTTAACCAGTTCGAGGCGCCCACTTCCTGAGCTATAGCTACTTTTTTTTTAATTCTCTGGTACTTGCAGTAACAGTTGCTGCAACTTATCACTTTGGCCGTGCTGTCGTTCTGTCGTAATGGATCTTCTAATCTTGTTTACTTCACTGGTATCCACCTCCCGTTGCGTTCTGAGCTATTATGTGGTCAGTGAGGGCTGCCGTGAGCTTAACTGAGTTTTGATGTTCGGTGGCAGCAATCTCCTCTGGATTGGTCAATCCCATTCCTCCCAGTCTCGGTGGTAGTGCAAGGAGTGATCTTTCTGCTGTGGTTAAGTGAGGGTGTTTCACTAATTTGGGAATGAAATTGACGCTGATAGCTTCTTCCAGAGGGTGAAGGAAAGGTCCGATATCAGGGACAGTAGTGGGGCAACTAGATGCAATTTTTCAAGAGAATCATGCAAATGGTGAACCAAGCACCAAATTTGGCATGGTAATTCTCTAATGGTTACTAGTCAAGTCTGCCTGATTGGCCATTTAAAAATCCAAGGTGGCGGCCATTTTTCAAGATGGCCGCCATATTGACCTTCAAAAGTTGATTTTTCTTATAGAAATTGATGTAGTTGGTCAATATGAGTGATCTTGGTGTCGATATGTATGTTTTCAAGCATGCTCAGATGCTTTGTTATAGTTTTAAGTCCATTGTAACATTTTTATCCACATAAAATAACACTTTTAGTAAAAAAATATAACCAAAAAGAACTTACTAAAAAAAAAAAGTACTCACTATTAGCACTGGTTCTTGTGACTTCTCCTGACAGTACATCTTTGTGCATTTATTGCTGTTCACATATGCAGCTGCAAAGTGCTGTGCAGGAAAGTCCAGAGCAAAAGCCTTTGCATCTCTGGTTGCAGTCTTTCTTACAGGAACATTTGATCAGCTCCTGACAGCATGTCGCAATCGGGGGAAGAGTCGTCCAACGTATCTGCCATGCCTCTCCCTTCTCACCAGCCTGCTCAGGGCTTGGATGTTGGAAGATGGACACACTGGTCCCATGGAAGGACGTTTTGGCCGTAGTCACAGTGGGGTTGTGGTTAATGTTGTCCACTGCTGAAGTCGTGAACAACTGCTTCCTCAAGATTGGTGGACACACCACTCCATCTTCCACGTACTGGCATACAACTGCTTCTCCTAGCTGGGCTGATAATTGTAGAACTCTGTCATCTGAAATTCTGACCCCATTTTCATGCAACATGTCGATGAGCTGCCTCTTTCTTGTCTTAGCAAACACAGACATGCCGACGTAGATAGCAAAAGGTGTCTCATTGTCCTTGGAGTGTCTGTGGATTTGTGTTCCTACCTTGTAGTTGGCAAAGTAGTTGTACTGTAAGAGCTGTGACATAGCAAGTCAGACTTCGATGCGCCATGCTGGAGTTGGGATTTGATACCTGCACCATGTTCGATCATGCATACAAATTGAAGCAGTGATGGTGGAACAGCCTGCTCAATGCATCCTTCATGAAATGTACTGCTGAAGTGTGACTTGTGCTGAAGCATGTCCCGTCGTGTCATCCTAGCAGCCTTGGCCAGATGGATCGCGTCACCGTATTTGCTTGCTTGTGCCAGGATTGAGCCAACATTCTTCTCAAAGGCCAGTAGGAATCTCGTCCTTGGTGATGAGCTTGCAGCTGGGGGATGTGAAAAAGCAGCTGGTCCTTCAGTCGAGTAGCATGAACATCGCGCGATCCAACACCCAGCTGCTCAAGTCTCTGTCTGTAGAGTGTGACCAGGTCAGCAAGTCTGAAAATGGGTGGTTCAGTACCTTCACTAGAAGTTTTCATCTGAGTGATGTAAGTAACCAGTTCAGAGAAAGCAGTTGGGTATGCGTCCTATGAAGCTCTTGTGCTTCTTCTTGCTCATGAGCATTTCGGTGTGTTCTTTCTCGGTTGTACAGGTCTGCCAGGCAGCGAGGGTGATACCTCAGTTCTTGTGCCACAACATCCCCTGCACTTAGTTTGGCAAAGAGTTTTCCATCACTAAGTGTCTTCGCACAATCATTCAATCTTTTATTAAGTTTCATTGTCATTGCATGTCTTATGTCATCTCCCGAAGCTTCTTCCTCACATAGAAAGCATTCTGTTGCTTTGGGGTCTCTGACCATTCGTGGTATCTTCCTACTGCTGCTCTCCTCTGTAGCAACTGCAGAGGTTCGCCTTTTCTGAGCTCTATTTAATTTTGTGTTGTTGAACAGAAATCTGCAACTCTCATGATACTGTGCCTTGTTTCTCCTCAAGGTCTCCTCTATCCTATCATCTTCAACAAGTCTTGCAGGGTCAAGCTTGATTGGCAGTGCATTGATTGAATGAAATAGAGGAATATTCCTTGCCAAGCTCTTGTAACCGTCATCTCCTTTATTGGCAGGATTTGCATGTGGAGACTTAAGATCTTCCTTCTTATCCTGTTGACAAAGACAACACTTTGCCCAGTCAGTGAGGAATGATTTGTTGGTAGATTTTGTGTCCATAATTATTTTTGATCTTCAGGGCCGAGGGTTTATCCTTTTACCACCCTCATGAGCACTTTCTTGTATAGGATACAACTAGGTCCATGCTTTTTGCCCTACACCTAGTCCGATCGTTCATCCAGTGTCATTAGTCCCGTGCGATCTGTACACCATCCAGATAACTAAAACCCTGTTATCCTTGGTTCGGCTCTCCCGCGCTGGCACATCCTGTCAATTCAGGTGCGGCTGCTTAACTGATTTGGGGTTGGTTAAGCAGCATTTGGGATACTAAGCTGTTGCAATATGACATGCTTTTTCTTAGCTGACACTGAACCCCATGCTGGGTTGCACAGCAGTGATGTCACCAGTGTGCCCTGGTAGTGCCCGACAATCACTCCCTCACATGCAGAGACCCTCTGCATGCTACCCTCACCTAGTTGGAAAAAACATAAAACCAGTACATAAAACCAGTCATAAATAAGACAAATATATTTCTGAGAGTATCAGAAATAGAAAAAACCATCTAAGCATGCTTAAAAACATACATATCGACACTAAGATCATTTAGATTGACCAACTACATCAATTTCTATAAAAAAAATAATCTTTCGAAAGGTCAATTTGGCAGCCATCTTGAAAAATGGCCGCCATATTGGATTTCCAAATGGCCAATCAGGCAGATTTGACAAGTAGCCCCTGGGGTATGATCAGGCCAAATTTCATGTTTGTATCACCATTTGCACGATTTTTACATTATCCGCTCTACTATAGTACGCATCAGGTAGTTCCAGCGATGCTTGACATGGGCCGATACTACTACTACAGTACTACTATAATAATAGTAATAATAATAATAATGTAGTGGCGTTAACGATGGTGGTGCTGGTGATGATAGAGGTGTTAGTGGTAATGGTAGTAGTAATAGTAGTAATTGTGGTGGTGATGGTTGTGGTGGTAGGAGGAGGGGGGTGGTGATGGTAGAGGGATGGTGGTAGGGTGGTAGTGGTGGTAGTGAGGGGTGGTGGTAGTAGGGGGGTGGTGGTAGGGGGTGGTGGTTGTGGTGGTAGTTGTGAGTAGGGGGTAGTGGAGTAGTTGTG